GGTATCGCTACTCCCATTTCAGTTCCTGAGGGATTTATCTGACCTGGATTCCAAGCTCTTATCTGTATCTGTGTACATGCTCCGGCCTAGCCCACAATGAAAGTCAGGATTGAGGTCATCATAGTCGGGGGTGAGGAAACCTCAAGGAGCCAGAAGAATATTGTGAGTTTCATCGGTGCTACACCACACCCTGCTTGACTCATCCCTTCTTTATGACCCCTCTGTGAGGGAATGGGACTTTTTCTTAATCACAACTCTACATTCACCTTCCATACGTACCTAGCACACACACCAGTAGATGCTTAATATTCCTGTCACAAATGAACACTATGCTGTAGGTCAGGTACTAAGGACCTGGATATAGCAGCAATAGGTATTGATTAACTGCTGTGTACAAATGAAAACCAGCACCATATATCAGTTTGCCACCCTATGGTGGCTTGCCTGTTGCCGTGAAGCTGGAAACCATGCCACCAGCATTTCACATGCCAACAGGCTCTCCCATGGTAGACATGTTTTGCCAACAGAGCCTCTAGACTAGGACAGAAGAAGAGGGCATCTAGTGACCTTTCTCAGCTGCTCTTCTTCCTCCCGCACTCTGTGCTCACTGGGAAGTATGGGAAAGGACTGGCTTGGTCCATTCAAGGGTGTTTAAGCAAAATGAAAACAAATGGAAGCCTTCTCTTTGTATGCTCAGCAAGATACACCGTGCAGTGAGCTTTTTTATCTGAGAAATGGAACATGAGCGTTTCACCCCTCCTAAAGAGAAGAGTCTAGTGTTACATGTGTAGGAAGTTAGTGTTTGTTCAACTGTGAGGGTTTTTTTTTTTTTGGGGGGGGGTCCTTTTTGGTTTGTTTTTTTCTTTTCTTAGTCTTCCTTGATGGGTCTAAGAATTATCCTTTTAAAGGTAAGAATTAGCATTTTAACCACTCAGCTTGTTTGGCATTGACCCATCGATCCTATCATTTGCATTGGCTGACATTGCCCTAGAAATGGGGAAAAGTGAATCTGCTAGCTAGAGAATAACAATCTTTTTACAAACACTGGACACAAAGTGTGATTGACAGCACTGTTGGCCAGGGGATATTTTTTGAATAGTATGCACACTGAATATTTAGAAATCAAATCCTATTGGCTGCACAGGGACATAATCAAATGAGCTTAAAACTTCACTATCAGCCAGTGGATTCTAACTCAGAGTCACCCTATGTTTACAAGGCTATACATCTTCATGGAAGTAGAAAGTTCTGTCTTTCTCCTATAGAGCAGCTGGTGGGTTTGGACCACTACCTTGTCAGTAGTAGCCCACCACTTAACTCATGGTGCCACAGTGCTTCCAGACCAGGCCTTGAACTTGATTCAGTGTTTCATACCATAAAAGGTGTTGGTGTTAGCTGTTAATTTAAAGCTAAGGTGTTCAAGTGTCTCAAATGATAACCCCTGCAATGCTTATACTCCTAGAAATAATAACTACTAACTGTAAGAAGAAAATAATAATTCTTTAAAATGAAGTATTCAACTTACATCAAGATGGACTTAGACCGGAGTCGCTGGAGTGGAACCCCTTGAGGGCTCCCTGCACTGATCAGCAGCTGGGACAGCTTATACGTGCATCCTTGTACTGTATAAGCACTGGAGAGCCTGTGTCTTTAGGCTGTATTTCATTTCTCTCCTTGGTGTTTTATAATTTGCAATGTAGAAATCTCACATGCATTTTTACTAAGTAGCTCACATATGGGTGAAAGATGGGACTTTCTGTCCCCTAACAAACTACACGTTTGGAAGCCCACAGGGGCAGTTCTACCCAGTCCTGTCAGGTCACTGTGAGTCAGCATCACCTGCATGGCAGCGAGATTGCTTCTGTTTTGGCGTTCGCATGTATGCTATTGTAAATAGGATTCCTTTTTAAAAGGTGTATCTTATTGTGTTTAAACAAAAATTTGCACAGCACTTTAGGTTCAGATGCAATAATGTCTTCCATTATCTTCTCATTCAATTTTACTACCTTTTTGAAGCCTCCTCATATGAGTAGTTTTGCTAAAATCATACACACACACACACACCACAGAAACTCTGCTTGCCAGAGGTTGACCAGTCTGTATTTTTCTGGTCTTGTAGTGTATTTTGCTGACATCAGCATTCAGGTAATGCTAACCTCAAACATGAGTAGATTATGTTGGAAGATTTTTAACTACAACTTCGATTCCTTTAATAGGTATCTGTTTTGTTTTTTAGTGAGGCAAGTGGAATTTTAATTTATGTAGCTATTTATAAGCTACTCCCATTTTCTGTAAGCCGAGAATAGCCCTTCTGAACCACTGCACAGATGTGCTCTCGTAGAAACACAAACAGAGCAGGAGGAGAAGCCAGGGCATCTGCAAGTGATGTTGTGCATCATGTCAATGCAACTTCTGTCAGCCCTGGGGGACAGAGGAGAACTGCCTCCCAGGGTTTGTGGGCTTCAGTCTGAATGGGAGCAGATTACTAGCTCTTTTCTCCTGTGAATCCACTGAGTGGATTCGAGCTGCTGACCTTTTAGTTACCAGTCAATAATGTCAACTCTTCCTCTGCCAGCCCTCCTAAATATGTCAGCGAGTAATGAAAATGGACTAGGCAATAATTGTGAGTGCATGGCATCATGTTATAAATAGGAAACAACCTACTGTTATTTCTCAAAAGATTGAAATATATACCACAGAGGCATATATTTGGTTTATCACTTGACTCTATCAAATACTTCACGTTAGGGCAATGGAGGGACCACTGTTGGCCTTCTGGATAAGCCTGGGGAATTGCTGCGTATGTTTAACAATCTTTGCTGAGGAGATTACACCAACATGTTTTTCCAGTGTTGAATCTTGCATTTATAATCTGATTATGAAATCATATCTATTTTATTTTTCTAGTGCTGAAGTTGATTTTTGACATTATCAAAAAGGGTTTTTGCATCTGTTTGAAGAAAGATGTTTTTTTAAAGACATGAGCTCACAGTGTTTATGGTAATGGGAGTGGAGACACCACCACGTGAGAGATACCAACAATTTTTAGAAGACTGAGTGGCGTGGTCTTGGCATAGAAAGGCTGAATCATGGGCATAGTGGAGGTGGGTGCGGGGTGTAGCCACCAGGGAGCAAACTGATTGGCACCACGGTACCTCAGAAGACTGGAGAAGAATTCTGGAAAGGCTCGGGGATTTAAAATAGTAAGTCCTTCTAACAACCAAAGATGCTTAGAATATGAAAATGTGTAAGGAGGAGTTAACAGCTCATTCTGCCCCAAATCTCAACTCTATTTCATCAAGAATACTGAAAGTTGTACTCTCTGGAGAATGGGTAGGAGACAGGGCCTGGATTTAGGAACAACAGGTGTAGCTAAATTTGGCATGAGAGGCCCTGACTAAAAACAGTACCTCCCATTTTATCAAGGAGACTTCCCCAGTCACTTCATGCCTAGATTTCAAATTACTAGAACATGGTTTCATGCTCCTCAGAGAAGAACTTGACAGAGTCCTCTCAGGAGAATTGATGGTCCAAGGAAAACATCTCCAGGACTGAAATGCAGGAGTCCCTCTGGGAAACCTGGGCAGATTCCTTCCTAGTCCTTTGGCGATGCCTCACTGGGCTACAAGCTTGTCTGTGAGCACACTTACTTTCCCTGTCAGCATTCCAATGTCTCACTTGCAGTGATGAATGGGCAGTAAAGATCACCAGACACTGGAGACAAACCTCACCGTGAGAGGCGACGGTCAAAATGAAGAGAGGAAAAGAGAAAAAAAGGAAGATGAAGAAAAGAAATCAAGGAGCAGAGAAACATCAAAACTCTCCCGAGAGTGTAACAGATAGTGAGTCCAGGAAACAGGAACAGGAAGGTGTAGAAAAAGAACCTTCAGGGAAATCTAGAAGGAGTGCATAATGACAATATAAGACCTGTCATTAATGTATTATGAAGAATTTAAGAGAGTGTTGACAGAGCACTCAACCCGTGGAACTGGCCATGGGGTGGGGAGTGGGGAAGCGTAAAGAAGCCCTTGGAAACTAAAGGTACGAGTGTTGGGTAGAAGGGTTGGAAAAGACAATAAAAAACAAAGTTGGACAAAAAGAAAAATATTCAAGGATAGTAGACTTTTCAAGAGATTCAGGAAGTGAATGCAGTAAAAAGTTCTAGACAGACCACAAAGGAGACAGAAGAAAGGGGGAAATCATTTAAAAAAAGATCCAAAGCAAGTTCCTGGATCTAAAAGGCATGAGTATACATATTGAAAAGACTGACTCTGATACATGATCGTGAAAGTTTGGGTTGCCAGGGAGAAAGATAAGTCCCTGGCACCTTTCAGAGAAGGGGACGTAGAAAAGTAAGCAAAAAACCCCGCAGGTCACGTACAAAGGCTTGGGAATCAGAACAGTAACAAACCCTGAATGTTTATTTAGATCGGTGTTTCCCTATGTGGGTGATACTTCCCCCTGGGGGGCACATTAACCATCAAAGGGGGCTGCAAAAGCAGATACCTACACTTTTTAATTGCCAGAGGGGTACTAAGGAAAAAATTTCCCCCCTGAAAGGTAGTAGAAAGCCAAATAAGTTTTGGAACCTGTGATTTAGAGTAAAAGATAATGTAATTACTTTGAATGACTGAAGAGTAGAGAAGGGTTAAAAAGCTCACTCCTCATCTACAATCGCAAGTTGGTAAATGATGTAGCTCAACGCAGACTCAGGAAGTAGCAAGTGAAGCATGCCATCTAGAAATTGGGAGGTGAGAGTCAATGAATTCATAAACCTCTTTCAACTCCACAGTCAAAGGCCTCCTGTGGGATCATGGATTGAGGAAACGTGAGGAAAGAAACGATATGTTTTTTAATCGAACCCCTGTAGAAGTCTGACTTTTAAAGTGTATGCCTTTATAATTTAACAATTAAGATGAAGCGTAAGAGGAGATAAGGATTCGCCCAAGGTGTGCGTGGGACTCTAGCAGATGTGACACTAATGATTCTTCTCTCTTCAGACTCCCGGTACATTCTCTTGCCTGTCGTGTTACATCACCTCCACATGCACTTGCAAGCACAGAAGGACCTGATCATGTGTGCGCGTATCCTTAGCAACGTGTTTTGCCTCATCAAGAAAAACAGCTCCGTAAGTAAATACAGGTCTTCCTATGTCGTTCCCATCAGATGGCTGCTGGGAAATGAAATGTTTTAAGGCTTCCAAGAACCCACACTGAAGGGTAACCTCGGAGTCCCTCACTTTTATTTCCAGCTGGGTTGGACTTTCCCCTTTGTTGTTTTTCCCTCAAACCTGTGGGAATGCTATAACCCTGAATAACCTAGTTTTCCTAATCTTGTATTGCAAGAAGGAACTGAATATCAAGTGAGAAAAATTAGAATCCTCAAAGCCTCCCACGTGTGTATTTAATCTTGGTATAAAAAATACTCTGTGGCAAGAATACCTTATTGCCGCAAAAGTGAAATCGCCGGGGGCCCATTCTGTGAAAGGCTGAGTGATGGTGTTCAGTGCATGGCCATGCCCTCGGGTCAGGCTCTGTGGACACGGTGGTGGCAGAGTAAAGCCCCCAGGAGACTGGCAAGATCGTGCAGTACAACCGTGATCACTGTACAGCTATGGCTTTGGGAATTCCTGTCACTGTTCCTGACACTTGATGCAGTGTGATTGCATTGGCATTGCAGTGCAGTTGGAGACAAATCATGTTCATGATTCTAAATGGGACAACTCAGACTACTCATGTGCATGGCTTAGGGGTCTGATGTCAAACCCACCTGCGAAGGACGCCCTGCTCCAGTTCTCTCAATCTGTAACAGTGAACCAAGCAGCCTATTCAGCGGTAGCAACTCCTGCAAAGCAGAGTTTGCCACTAAGTGCAAAGTCTCCTCTCTCTGCCTCCCTGTTACCTCTGTGCTACATCTTCCCCATTTTGATTTCTGCCCAGCTCTTAAAGGGCTTGGCAGTGATCCCAGCAAGAGGTGGAGATAGAAGCCCGGGCCCAAGGGAGCAGGGTTGATATTAGAGAGAAAAAGGCTGGAAAATCCACATCTACAAGTCTAGCCAAATAAACATGCACCAAAAGAGACCATTGATTCTACCCACCCGCCACCCCAGGCTCCAAGAGGGCCCGGGAACGGGGTAGAGCCATGGTGGGAAGGCATGTGTTTGCTCTATCGCTCCTTTTATGTAACCCAATATGGAATAGCCATGGCCTGTCTAGCTAAATTGTGTTTCTAAACTGTAAATGCCAAGAGTAAAAAAAGGATAATTCACTACAGAAAACTGAAGGGGGAGGGGGATATTTATATTTACCAACAGTGGAGGTGGGTTTTTGTTTTGTATTTCCATTTGGAATTTGCAGTCAACTGTTAGCCTTCTCCGCTGAGGAATTCAGAGCAGAAACCAGATCAATAGGGAGAAAACTTTGGTCATTTTCATGCAAGGACAAGGAAGTTGATCTTAAAATTCTAGCCAAGCAGTCTTTTCAAACTCACGTTTTCCGAAAGTAGTCTTTGCCGATCCTGATACTGATCTCCTTGGGAAGGGCATTTGGGCACAGTTTTGTCTGGTGCCAGTGTATCAAGAACCCTATGCCTACTACATGCACCCAGCATAGAGAAGCTGAAGGTCACCTCTCAGCCTGCGAGCTGGGACAGTGCTAAAGCTGCTGAGGAAAGCCATCCCCACGGTGGCCAGCTGGCCTTCGGTCTAGTCTGTGCCTCGTGGGGCTCACCTTAACCTAGTGCCGTTTCTGATGACTGCACTAGTAATTTTTCAAGGAATAATCGTTCACACTTAGCACAGACTTTTGGAAATGCCTTGTGAAACTCTAGTGATGAGAAAAGTAAATGAAATACAAACGGGAGCCAAGGAGTGGTTGAATTTTAGGACCAGGAAGGACATTTGGTGAAGATTCGGGCCCCGAAAGGCAAACTGAGTTGCCCAAAGACACACAACCACGCTGGTGGCATAGCTGGCATGCCTCTGTACTGCTCTGCTCAGCGTCCTTTAATACCTAAAGTCACACCCATTGCCATCAAGTTCATCCTAACTTCTAGCAGCCCTGGAGACAAGATAGAACTCTTCCCTTGGGTTTTCAATGCTGTCATCTCTACAGACACAGACTGCCGCTGGCCTCTGTACAGAAGAGCTGGCGGGTTTGAACCATCAACGCTTTGGTTAACAGCCCAGTGCTTAGCCACGGCACCACCAGCACACATTTCCCTGATACGGCCCACCTTTGGGGTGTATCTTGGGTATGGTGTTGTGTGCTCTTGGGTAACGTGTGAACTTCTCCTGTCTTTGTTTTCTCACCTGGAAAAGGAAGTCATTCACTTAGCCGAGGTCCCGTTCTCAAGCTCTGCAGATCTCTGGCTCTTGGCTTCTGAATTTGGAAATGTGTTTTCCACCCCCACGCCCCAGCACCTCCTTTCAATGAAAGAGAAGTGGTATGCATTTTAAGTCACGATTTCCTGAAGGCTGGTTTGTTATTTGTTTGCTTGTTTGGATCAGGAAAAGTCTGTGTTGGAGGAGATAGATGTGATCGTGGCCAGTCTGCTGGACATCCTGCTGAGAACCGTCTTGGAGATCACCAGCCGACCTCAGCCATCCGGCTCAGCATTGCGGCTTCAGTTCCAGGATGTCACGGTAAGATCAGAAAGCAAGTGACCCGAGCAAGAGGTGCGCTGCTGTGAGAAGTGAGGGAATCTGACCTTGGAGAATTAGCTGTGTGCATTTTGGATGTGTTGATGATGACCTTTCATTGTACCAGGAGTTAGCATACAAAGCACATGTGCTAAAAGACCGTAGACTAAGAAGTTTTTCATTTCAGAAAGCTAAGTCTGATGTTAGTTCTTACTTTGGCTGAAGCAAATTCATTTCCATCCATATTCCTAGTCAACTCGGTAACTTTCCATGCTGCTCATCATCGAATTGCGTGAGGAAGGGA